GCCTCTATAATTCGAAAAGTCCAGCCCAAGATTGTCCACCATGGCAACCACACAATCTCAATTTACCAAACTTTGTCCTGTATGGCTTTAAATTGGCTCAAACGCCAGAAAACATACTAGTTGTACCTTGTTTGCTAACGGATGTTAACAGATCGACATGAGATAGGTAATAACAGAAAAATATTTTGCATGACAAAGCTCCTCTGCAATTACTTGCCTGTTTTTTTCTCCCATTAAGTCAATGAACTCTTCACATGTTGACGATAAGTAAGACAAGCTGTTTTAATGGGTCTATTAACTCTAAAATCCCCAAATAGTTTTCGTTATACAGCAAATTCCAGGAGCTCATTATTTCCTGTGAATGCCAGTCAGCCATTCTCATGGCTAGCTGTCCGTTGGGCAGTTGAGTGTTCAACATGTCGTTTGTTAATGAAGAAAAGCGGCCACCTGGACCACTGTCTCTTGCCCATACAGGGTGTTCCGCTCATCGGTTGGGAAACGAAGATGCCCCTCTTTCAATAACAACCGTTTGTATTTGTCACTGGATATATTTCCCTACAGCAAAGGATCGGTAACAGTCTCACACCAGGAGTAGTCTTCACCCCCTCTCTGATTATGTACTACGCTCCGGTCAAGTTCATCTTCAGCTGCCAGCACTGTATCTTTTCCCTCAACAGGCGATGTGAGAGGGCTGGTAGTGCTGCTCGCATGATGCACTGTGGAATGCAGGCTTCCTGCGTGACTCGAGCTCTGCGTGCTTGGGCTAGCAGTGCAGGCCTTAGCATGATTACAATTAGAATCTACGTTTACGCTTTGCCGACCCGCTAGGCGCTCGTCATGTTCACTGACCTACAGCCTACGTCACTGGGCCTGCGACATTATGACATTGGTGATTTAACTCTTTCATAATCAGACAGCATTTTCAAAATCACATTTATCATTCCAATTTTTTTAAAACAAAAATACTTTACATAAAAAAATTAATTTTTTAGGCCAAGGGCTCCCCATTGGCTCAGGGCCCTGGGTACGAGCCCACTTTGCCTATGGTAATCTGCAGTAATCTGTCTATGGTCCAGGGGAGGAAAATTCTACAGACACCTGTCTCTGTTCTGGGATCAAATTATTTTCATCAGTGTTCAAGTAGTCTGTGAGCAATGTAAGGTTATTTGATGTCGATACAAAAGTGTCCCAACCGACCCAGCTCCCCTGGTGGGAAATCAGGGCTTTAGATTTAGATTTATTTATTTTGCACAATTCAAACAATAACATTTAAAATAATCAAACATAACAGAGATAAATGAATATCACAGTGCAGGAAGAGACAGAAAGCCAACTGGGCTTATTTGAAGCCTCCACCTATATAATATTAAAATTTTACAAAATTACAAAGATAAAATTAAACATGCATAAGACATTACATTACAACAAAGAAAGAAAGAACAGAAAAAGAAAAAAATAATGTAATTGTGTGGAGTGTGTGTGAGCATGTGTGTGCATGTGAGAGTAAGCGTGGGCTTGTGCTTGTTCAGGGATGTTGGTTTATACACCTGCAGTAACTCATAAGCAATGGTAATGCTACAAGTCCCTATGAGTGAAACAACTCTAAATGTAATATAACAGCTAAAACAAGAAAGACATGAATACTAATACATAAAAAAAAACTGTTACAAAACAGCAATTAGATTTTCTTTTAGGCATCTTTTAAAACATTTTATAGAGGGACATTTTTTTGTTAGGTCGGAAAAGTCATTCCATAATTTGGTTCTCCTAAATCTTATTGAAAATTGACCTCTGCTAGTCAGTAATTTAGGAGGATGAAGATGTGAAGATTGACGAGTTGAGTAAGAGTGAACCTGTGAATTGGATTTATAGTATGTCTTGAAATGATGAGGAATATTCCTTCACCTGAAAGTATCTTATAAATGAAAACACAAGTTTGTGAAATATTGATGTCATAAATAGTAAGAATCTGCAATTTCTTAAATAGAGGAGCAGAAGAGAAGTGTGACTCTGATCGGGTTGCGATCCTAACAAAACGTTTCTGGAGGACCAACACTTTTTGCAGAGTAGTAGGAAAAGTACTCGCCCAAACTACATTACAATATGAAACATATGGATAAATGATACTGTAATAAAGAATAAGGAGACAGTTTGCAGAAACAAGATGCAGATTGTAGAGTTAGGCTCAGACCTTGGGGTGAAGTTACACTTTAATGACTGTACTCAATGCGTTGCAAACAATGCAGCTTGTGTCAGTGCAGCACCTTCCCAACCACAACCTGGAGAGCACCCAGTGTGGTTGAAACTGATCTGATCTTTCCTTTATTTGACTAGTTTGATGATGTAATGCTCCACTGGCGCTAGTTTCTATTTCTGTAGTGTGTTGTTACCTTAACAAGACTAACAGTCTACAACAGGGGCGTTTCTAGGAATTGAGTGGTCTGGGGCTAAGCCCACACTATCTGGAGCTGAGGCAAGGCTCTCGAGTGGTAACTGCTGTTCTGCCTGGAACACTACTGCTGAAAATGTATTTAATTTGACTGCATTGTATGACTACTGCAAGTATAACACTTCACTTGAAATTTAATTTCTAATGGTAATGTTAAGAATTTGCCTTGGACAAAATGGACACCGCATTAACCAATAGAACTGTCTATGTCTATCCGTTGCCATACAGGGAGATGCAGAAATGATTCAATTCAATTTTAAAGCTCAGGGAGAGAGGAGGATCCTCGATCAGGATGGACAGAATGCAGAAGATGTCATGTGTACAGAATACAATTACAACAAAGTCAATCCAAATGACAGAAATTATACATAGAATATTAGCTGAATAATAATAGAAAAATACATGAACTGTATAATGACAGACACCCAGAGCAAAACTGGTACAAAACTGGTATTTAGTTGATTAGTAGTTCAATGTATTATGATTTTTGTAACACTCTCAGTGTCATTAAGTTACCGTATCACCTTTTCTCTTCCATTCTATATTTTATGAGTTGTATCTTATTGCAGAGCGAGCCTATTGTATTGTCTAACACATTATGTTATGTACTGTGCTACATATCACTAATACAACCAATACAAATGAAAATACAATTGTAAAATAAAAATGAAAAAGACAAATAAAACTGAACAGACTCTTTCTTCTTTCAGGCCATCACTCTGATGAACATTTGAATCTGTTTTTCTTTAACATACACATCTGTCACAGTCAATATAAATCCAATGTGCTGTATATACAGTACAGGGCTTGGCGTTATGCTCTAGTACTGCTCTAGTACTGCTGATTTTCCATTGTTTTTTGGATTATAGCTGAAAATAAGCACTGTGGCAAACACATTTTTGTTCAGCACAAATGAACCCCACTTTAATGATTTTTGGAGCATGAATGCAATCACCAGAAGTAAAAAAACGAACGATAGGCTATTAACAAACTACACCACATCCGCATGAGTGAGTATACACAACGAGGCTGTGAAGGAGGACCAGTTGTCATCATGACATTTAGTCTTATTTTGCTTTTCTTTAAGAAACTTAAAAACCTTAAAATCAAACCAAAAACCCATTCAAAAAAACCTAAGAGGGAACCGGATGTGTAAAAACGTTGACTCATTTCTGGGTTTTAGGACTCATTTCCACAGAACTCTATAGACATCTTTACATGTAACGGATTGTACATGGACCCAATTGCAGCACACACGATTCCAGGAACCGTTGGCTTTTATTATAAACTCAACAGGTACAGACTGACACATCAAAGTCTCTGGCAGAGTAGCAGAAATGTAATATCCAATATTATTGTCATCAGACATATCCATCTCGACCTCCTTCTCCTCAGCATCAGTGGGTGAGTTGTCCCCGCCAGAAGACGGCTCCTCTTCATCCTCCCCAACATCTGAAGTTACAGATGGAAGAGGGTGAGCAGAGTCTAGCTGGGTAGCCCCAGTGGGCACAGAGGCCTTGGAGGGCTGGTCAGGATGGAACTCCTGATGACAGGGGCATCCAGAATGTGTCGAGCTGGGACCCAGGATCTTTCTTCTGGACTGTAGCCCTCCCAGTTGACCAGGTATTGCAGGCCTCTCCCAGCGAACCGTGTAGGTAAGACCTCCATCGATGAATCGAGGTGGCGGTGGAGGCTGAGCAGCAGGAACCAGTGGACTCTCTCGAACCAGCTTCACCTTGGAGACGTGGAATGACGGGTGGACCCGCATGGAACGGGGCAGCTTGAGCCTCACTGCTGCAGGATTGATGACCTTCTGGATCTCGAATGGGCCAATGAACCTGGGTTCCAACTTCTTAGACTCTACCCGCAAGGGTAGGTCCCGGGGTGACAACCACACTTTCTGGCCAACCTGGTAGATCGGGGCTTTGGTGCAGCGCTGGTTGGCTGAGCGGAGGAGCACTGCTCTGGCTTCGGCCCAGGTACGGCGGCGGACGAAGGCACTGATGACACTACACTGATGACAGGGGCTACCATGCAAGGTGCCTCCTGCCCATCAGGACTGGCTAACATTCATACCCATTCATACAGCAATTTGGGGTTAAATGTCTTGACCCTGCACTGCCACTGAGCCACAGGCCTTCTACATTGCACACAGATGATCCACTCCCCTCCCTGCAGGACATATATGACACCCGCCTCACCCGCAAAGTGACCACGATTGTGCGCGACTCCAGCCACCCCTAACACAGTCTCTTCAGCCTCCTGCCCTCTGGGAGAAGATACCGGAGCCTCCGTGCTCGCACCACCAGACTCTCAAACAGCTTCGTCCACCAGGCTGTTAGGAAGCTGAACTCTCTCCCTCCTCTCTTGTAAGACTCTATGTCCGACTGCTGCTAAATTATATGTTGTCTAAATGTTTTTTTTTTATCTATTTGCACTGTATTCACTTTATATGTTTATATGTTTATATGTTGGACTGGAGAGAAATGTTTTTTCAACTCCTCGGTATGTTCGGTACATATTGTGGAACTGACAATAAAGCTAACTTTGAACTTTGAACTTTGATAGTTTGGGAAAAACTAGTTTTATTTTCATTCTTGCATTTCAAATGATCTCTGATATCAGATATTACAGCATATATAAATATATTTTGAATACTGTACCACATGAAATACAGCTTGTATATGCAAAGTCACGTCATCATTATTTACAGTCAGTGTGCATATTGTCATGTGTATCAACATCATCACATCTTCACTGCTTTACAGACTCGACAGTTAAAACACATCTTAACAAACAAACAGCAGATCTGTACACATGGTCTCTTTAAAAGAATGTAGCTGGAGCAGTGCACAGTGCACATGGTTCATACATCTGCTGTAGTTAGTCACTTCAGAAGTGTTTACTACAACCCACACTAATGAAAGAAGTTGTGCTACCACACTGACAACATGAGAGTCAAGACAAAATCTATACTTTAGGTAGAGATCACATCATATATTTGTTATGAGAGTTTAAGACAATGTGCTTTTGAGAATAAATTGCATACAAAGAAACATTCAAATCAAAAGCTGAACCCTCAATTTAAATACCGAGCAGTCCCAGAGAGACGCTGCAGAGGGACACACATTACATACTGTAGGACTTGCAATTTTCCTGTGCTGCCTTGCAAAATTGATTATGAAAATGTATTCTTGACCTTTGAAACAGAAGTTTGGCCAAAATCATAACCCCAGGTCTCCTTGACAACTGTCACAAACTCCATTCACTGAGGTCAATGATGGATTGCAGTTGAAAGCCACAGAAGAAGTTTGCGAGTGAATGCGACTTTGACACAAAAGACTACCGTTCCTTTCCTGTTTCCTGCTGATAGTCATATTAGTTTCTTGAAAGCATTGTTACCAACTAAATCATTTTGAGTCTGAATCTAACCAAACTGTAGCTACTGTTTGTAATGGTGATTTGTAAAAGTTTTGGAAGGTATAAACAACATGTTTTGGTTAGGTAGCATTACCTTCTTCACAGTTAGAATCTTTGTGATTTCTGTCCTGGTTGCATTGGTGACTTCTGCAGTTACAGTGTTTAATACTACGGCAAATGCTTATTGAGCAGCTGCTGCCAGGAGTCCAACAGAAGAGGCGTGTGTGTACAGTGCAGCCAGATAAGGTCTTGTTGTTTCAATAAAGATGTTGGTCACACAATAAAAGTCATCCCATGTTTTACCATGACAACTTAAAGCTCAGAGAAACGCATTAAGAAACCAAAAGCCCCATTCTGTTAACTGTTATTCTCAAGTTATGTATAAAGAAGTCCAGCGCCTGCTGTAATTTCACTGTGAAAACCTTTTTATTGAAACTGTATCAGGGAGTCTTCCTGTCTGTATTTGGAAGTGAGATCAGAAAAGCAGAAGAGTGAACACAGCAGAAAGAGAACAAACTGAACTTGTGAATGGAAGCAATATGATGACCTCTCCTACTAACTAACCCTGAAGGATTTGATCAGACACTTTTGGTAAGAGAGCAAGTCTGTCATGGAACCCAAAATGTGGGTCACGTGCACTATTAGGGGCCGTGTCCATTAAAGAGTGTTTTCCTGAGGCCAGTGGGAGTGCCATGTATTTACGCTCTGCTACAATCACCAGCTGTGTCACAAGGTGCTGAATGTCTATTCTGAGCTGAGCGCTTCATATTTGGCGTTTCTTTCTGGTCGCTGACGGTTTAAAAATGTTAAACTTTGGGTGAGCGTCATCAAAAGTGTATGAGTATGTTGTGGTCTTACTGTGTACGTTATGCTATTGTTTTTACTGTGGACTTTATGTTGTCCTCATGTCTGGAGCACTGGACAAAAGGAATATCCCCGTGTGGATAATAAAGTGGATCTGAATCTGAACAAAACGATAGACTCACCAAGATGTTTCCTCGCCGGCCGACATTTTTACTTTAAATATATTCCGCATCAGAAGCAACCAAAGTGTCTCATTGAAAAAAGGCTAAAGCATCCTCAAACAATCCCAGATTGGCGGTTTCTACAGAGCGTCTGGCATGTGGAGGCGGGCCCTGAAGCCTTGATCAGACAGAGGGCATTTTAGGAGCCTGGGGTGGCGTTTATCATTGTTTTCAATGAGCGTAAAATTGGCGTTGCTAAGTGCCAACCCTAGTTACCATGATGTAAACAGAAAACTGCAGGAGGCAAATCAGTGAGATTTCAGGGGTGAGGTGTTTTCATTTCCTTTTCATTTAAGCTGTACTGTTAACTATTAGGTAGCCTACAGTTCATGGTTTGGGTTAAGCTAACGTCAGCACTCATTCCTTCGTGCACATTGCTGATCAAGGGTCTGATCAGACCCTTAGTCCATATGGTGCTGATTCTATTTGAATTTCTATTGAATTTACTATTTACATTTGAATGAAGTCAGTATGACCTGTGGAGGACCACAAGAATCAACAGGTCCCCCTCTTAGGAAACGTTAACATGCTCCCGTTAGGCCAGATTTACATCTCTTTTTCACTGGCTGATAGTTGTCCCCTTGGCTCACGTCAGTGCCAAAAGAATGACCAGACGTGCCAGCATGATCTCTTACCAAATAAAGACAAAACTCAGGGGGCTGTGTTTGGCGCATGAAATAAAAGTCAGAGAGGTTTTGATACTGTGGGTTGAAACAGCGCTGCTTTGTTTCACCTCAGTCCCTAAATGTGCTGTCACAGACAGATGAAAGTGAAATAAAAAACAGAATTTAAAATGCACTGTGTACCTTCTTTTCAATTCATATCTCTTTAAACAGTCACATTTTTCTTACTCACTTATTCATTACGACATGTAAAAAATTCAGCTCTTGAAGAACAACTTCAAAAAGTTGAATAGATACCAATAAAACTAACTGCATTAGCTTTAGGTTTGACATTTAAGCCTTGTCAGTTGAAAGCGGTCCATTGTATTTATGTCTGTCTTTCTTGTACACCCACACGCAACTGCAGTCTAACATTAAACACTTAGAGGTGTTTGAACTGATGCTTGTAGCCTACTTCAGGGTGGCAGTCACAACACTTGATACAGTAACTACCTGACCGATGACAGCAGTGTACTTTTCTATTCAGCCCTAAATCTACAGGACTACGTTCATCTACAGTGAGGAGTTTAGCATGAACACACAACTATGTACAATGACTCAGTAGTCTCTTTGAACAGAGACTCATAACAATATAAAAACCATCAAACATTCAACAAGAGGAGCTAAAATGACAAATTACTTTATGGATACAATCAGTTACTTTGTCACAAAACTGACATCATCATGAAGTCTGTCCTGTCGTCCAGCCTCTTAATACAGTACATAGCACTATCTAGACACATTAGGAGGCAATATTGTAAGGTACAGATATGATAAATGCTTGGCCATAGCATCTTGGTCTCCAGCGGACTCTTTGCTAAGCCCCACACCCCATTAGCTACTCTTGCTATGTCCGTCTTTCAATTCTGGCACTGCAGTTCTCAATGATAACGTTAGCAGATTTACCATCAAAATTCTTGGGACTGTGATTTCACACATAAGTTAACAAAGCAGTCCATCTATTTTATGAGCTAAAATGACAACCGTGGCTGGCAGATTTTGTCAGCTGTAGCTTGCTTTTTTACTCTAATATTTTAAATTGTTTCTGGCTGTTTCATTTCAAAATGAGAGCCCTGTTTAAAGGAGTCTTAAATATGCACTTTTACATGGTATCATGCTAAAAGACTGAGGCTAATGCTACACAAACACACTTTAGCTCTAGTGCTTTTGGAGGGTGGCGTATTGCTCTTGATAGAGTCCAATAAATAAATATATAACTTAAACTAAAGAGCTTGTCTTTCTTTAATCTTAAGGCAAGAACATTTAGTTTTAGAAGTTGACATAAATCCCGATGGTTAACCTGCTACCATTGTAATGAGCAGTGTTACAATGGGAAACGGCTAGCACCTGTAGCTAAGGAGGCCAGGGCTAAGCTGATAGCGGTCGTTTCTCAGACTCTGGATGGCACATGATAAATCAGTGGCAGATTAAATACAAAATTGTATCATTAACAAAACAATAACATGTTGATCTGCTCAAAAACTGGTTATCCTCCAGCATCAGCTGATTGGTGGAAGGGGTCTTGGAGTCAGCTGCTCCAACAGATACTGATTTATTTTTCAAACTATGTTCATACTTCATTTTCTCCATCTCCATGTAGCTGTGAACATCATTACTGTCCTCGTCCCCCCCAATGTTCACCACCACCTCACTTGTACAGCAGCTGCAGATGGCTGGTGTGGCAGTTATTTCGGCTGATCTTGCTGTCCGGCAGGTAGAGGCTGGACGAGTTGCCGAAGGACGGAGGGATGGGGTGGATGTCAGAGATGGGGGTGGGGTAGCCCGGAGGAGGGGCCAGGGACCGCGGGTCACTCTGGGGAATGGCATTGGATGAGGAGCTGTGGTTCTGATTGGTGACAGTGGACGCTCTTCTCCTTGATCGCAGGGCCTGTCGCTCAGACAGCTGGTTTCTTAGCTCAGACACACGCTCTTCTTTCTGAGGGGACAAATAGTGACAACAACTCACCAATCTTCTCCAGGGACAAGTCCTCTGATCCTGAAGACTGGTTTATGGTAGGCTTATGGTGTCATTTGTTTGATTGTTGAAAGCAGTTGTGTGAAAAGACATGTTTCAGACTGACTCCCTAAACATGGCTTAACGGGTCGGTTTACCCAAATTCACATCCATCTAGTGGTATCAATCCCTGACAATAGTTAGGATTTCATTTCCCAGGTTTTGAGATATGTTGTCAAGATATCTGTCTCCACACAATGCATTCAAAGTAAATGATATTAAATATGTGCTACTGGTAGTTTTTGAATGTAGTAGTTTGATCAAAGAAACCAGAAAAGTCACAGAGATGCCTTGTCATCATGTGATATGTGAAGTATGAATAGATATGACAACTGAGCCAATTCTGTCCGCTGAGGAAGGCTTTGAGGCCTTTTTTTGTTTGTTTTATCATATATTGAAAAATTCATATTTACAAAGTCAAGATCGAAATCTTAATTCTATGTTATCTTCTGGACATATATTTGAATCCTAATACGATGTGAGTGAAAAGAGAAAGGACCTGGCTGACCTCCTGGATGATCTTCTGGAGCTCCTTGTTCTCTCTCTCCAGCTGTCTGGACTTCTCCTCGTCATTGTTATTGGTGGACGAGCCGGTCTTCATGGTCTCCTGGGCATCGGACTGCCACTCACCCCGTGTGATCAGACGCCGCATCTACAAATCATGCACATGTTATCCTTTCTATACATGCAAGACTTGTTATGAATGCTCACCAGTCACTGACGGAGTTCATCGGGGGTCAGTTTTTGGACTGACCCCTTTAGAGCTTAAATAATGATATATAAATGTGCTTAGCATATTTCTGAGACCTGAATACATGTTATCATTATTGGTTACTGGGCCCAGGTCTTTGTCATCATTTAGAATAACCACAATAGGAATATGTGGGGTGACAAAATACTTAACTTTTCACCTTGAGTCTAAGTTTGAACAACCTTATTTTAACCCTGCTTGCGCAATTTCATGGACCCTTCACTGTGGACGGTTGTACTTGAATGTAATGAACTTTTTTTATCCTATTCATATTTTATACTATTCTTATTATATTTGATAGTTTTTTCAGATTTTTCTATTGTCTAATTGTATATTTTAAGACAATGTATCTATGGTGTAAAGGACTAAATGTTTTGTACACATTTATACTTTCTGACTCACACTCTTGTTGATGCTTAGCTCTTCTACTTATTCATCTGAGCTGGTTTAATATACGTATATTTATAATATCATTTTTCGTTCACATTTTTATTCCGCAATTGTGTTATCTTTAATGATTGTACTCTACATCCAGATGCTTTGGAACCAAATAAATATACGTTTTATGTTTCTAATGTCAAATTATCAGCTCACAAAATACACTGCTTCTCCATCATTGTCCATTAAGTGTCTTTTTCAAGATATACTTATAAGATATACCATTTAAATCTGAATAAATACTCACCCATTAATGAAACAATTTACTCTCTTTGAAGATTAAGAAATATTTACATTCCAGAAGCAGGAACTAGTGCATTATGGGGCATTTTTGACATGATTTACAGAATAAATCAATATTAAAACTGCTTTTGATTTGTGTTCTGATTAAATGTCTGTTTTTTCACAAAGCCATATTCTCAATCTCTAATGTTGATATATAACATTGTTTGGATGACTACTATGAGATACTATAAATGCCTTATAATCTGGATAAATAGCCATACATTCCTGTTGCTGAATAGTTATACAATTATGGACAATAGTTGGCTTCCATTTTGGAAAATAAGAGCTGCTACCCACTCCCTTACAGAGAGAAAACTGCTGAGTGAGTCATTGTTTGAGCTGCTGCCATCAGTCTAAAAACCCTGGACACATTTAAGCAGAAGATTTATCAGCATGTCCTGTATTCAGTCACTGATTTCTGTTTATCTACACAGCTCTCCTGAACCCAGCCAGTATTTCATCCAAACTATCCTGGACTACACTATACGCTCCATGTTTCCATATACTCTACATAATAAAAGTCTGAATTTAGTGCGTCACATTGCATTCAATTCAAAACACAACAGCATGTTTCTCAAAATGTTTAGTTCTGATGTAATGGCCATTTGGACTATATGTGTGTTCAACTACTTGGTAAGTAGAGGATGTCAAAGTTAAACCTAAGTTACTGCAAAGCATCTTTACAAAGGACGGTTTGAATCATGAGTTAAGTGATCTAAGAGATTGTGCATTTAACACATACATTAATAACCACCTTCTCATCTCACTCTGAAAAAAAAAAATCCGTCCAAAACAAAAATACAACACCAATTTAGTTCCCTGATTAAAACATTGTTTGTTCAATGAGACCTCACTGATGCTCTTGTGGCTGAATGGGTGCAAATCCCTGGTGGAAAAAAAACAACCAGAAGAATGGAGGCTGTTATAGTAATTAATGCATTAATGCATAATCAGACTGGTCACAAGAAGGGTCAGAGCAAATGAATACACACAACCACACAAGCATGGTGAAAGCATAGCAGACTGTTGGAGACTTGAGCAGGTATTGATGCTGACACATGCTAGGCTGAGCCAATCTACAAGTCTTTATGTGATATATTGTTCTAGCCCAGATGACTTAGATCCCTGATGAAAGGCAATCCATTACATCTGAACTTTCTGCTGTAATCTACAGGGAGGATATGATGAGGAGGACAGTGCTCTGCTTTTACCTTGGGGACAAACAGAACCACTAGAGTGATGTAGACCGAGAAGACTATGGCCAAGGAGGCGAAGGCGAAGGAGGCGTCCTGCTGAGAGGACAGGATCATGGTGACTGGAGCTGTTATCATACACAGCACCTGAGGAAAACGGTGGATAGAAACAACACCTTTAGTTATTTTATGATAGAAAATGACACCGCATACTTGTCAGGTCACCGTGAGCCTGCAAGTCAAAAAAGCACAGCATTCTGCAACCACACGGACCAAATCAATTTTATTCTTAAAATAAATCAATATTGAAACACTGACACTGATGTGCTGCCATGATAAGAGTAAATACTTGCATATATTTACCTGCTTGCTATATCTTTGGAAAGTTGTGATGGTCATCTTTTGGTGTTTTACTGTCGTAGTGTAGAGATCAATTTGATTCATTGATTATTGAAGATATTAATTGGTAGAGTCATCGATGTTGAAAATGATTGTTAGCTGCAGCCCTAGTTTAGATAACATAAAGTGCCTGTTTATTTAGATTGTAAAGCCCTTTAAGGGCACATTTGTGATTTGTAGTAGTGGGCCGTCAGGGCCTGCAAGGCCTTCTCTGCTGGCCTACAGAGCTACAAAGCTATAGTTATTTTATAATTTAATAATTTTTCATAAATACACTACATGTATTATAATTATTTCCCCCATTATCTTATTTTCTCATTGCACAGCTACTGTCTTCCTCAGTTGCTCTGCTTCCAGTGCAGCTTGTTTTAAGTAGAGCTTTTATCCAATCAGATTTCACCTCTGTGTCTCTAGGTAAGAAGAGAAGCCCGAGGCCTGCAGACTCACAAGTGAATCCATGTGCACTTTAAGTGAATGGGGACGATATTGTTGATTGTCATAGTGTTCAACCAATCAGATCTTTAGTTTGACATGTTGGGCGTATTCTTTGACGTGTCAGAGCCTGCTAGCTGGCCTACAAGTACGTCAGCATTAACGTGCGGCTTGATTGGTCAGTGGTTTAGTCTGACTGTTGTGAAACTAGCAAGCAGAACTTTGTAGTAGTAAGAGTTAAAGTTTAAAGTTTAAAGGTTTTTACGTGACATAACATTTTTAGCGTTTTGGCATGTTTGGTGGTGATGATCCCAATATCTGCTGCCTCTGTTGAGCGGACATTTTTCAGCCCTCAAACGCATTAAAACGTATTAAAGAAGTACAATTGGGGAGGCTCGACTGTCTTCACTGGCATCCATGAATCCGGAAGGAAGGTGGTGACAACCGTGGTGTTAAACTCTTTGTAATCAAAGAAAGGAGGATGGACTTTGTCTTTAAGTGAACAGCAGCTTTGGTAAGTGAAGTGCTTTTGTTTTTACATCTGCAGTAGCGTTAACTACTGTGTTCATTTTTCTATTGTGTCGTTTTTATTATATGGTTGATATTGTTCCCTCTGATGTGAATAATCATGAATAATCGTGTTATTTGGGTTTGATGTTATTCTACCTGCTTTGTTGTCATATAAATATATGCGACTGGTTTTTGCGAGTTTGTTCTTGCCATTGTGTTAATTACATTGATTTTGACTATATGCATTGCCGTTAATGACGAAACATCCCGTCATGCTGCCGTCATAATGAGGTTAATAGGAGGTGGTTCAACTGTAGTAGGACAGCACTGAAGGCCCAGGTATGAAATGCACGGCCCACCTCTGGTGATTTGTGATACCGGGTTATACAAATCAAATTGAATGGTCTGTCCACTGGGCTTTCTTGACCTGTTGGACATCATGTCACTGTACTCCCAGATCTCAGCAATTACTTTAGTGAGCACAATATTATCATAACTGATAAAGATGATGGCCAAAACAACTCAAATAAGACGCATGTTCTAATAAACCCAAAATATGTTTTAAAACCTTTCTGGTGAATGATCTTTGTTGAATTGTTAATGCTTTAGATGGCTAAGCTGAATAATGTTGCCATCTAGTGTTTCTTCTTGTGTAGGCATTCATAATATATTTTTTTTATCGTTGAATTTCTTCTAGTTTTTGTTATTATTGGGTTATGTTGAACTTTGAATAAATGTTATCCTAATTGCAAAAGCCAAACATATTTTCTCAATTTATGATAGTGTTGTTCCTCCAACATAACAGCTACTTATAGAAAACAGACAACTGAATATAACTGAAGACTCCAAAACACAGTTTTCACCATCCATCTGCAATAAGGATGGCATTGTAATTTGTTGAATTTCATTTGTTACTTGTTTAATTGCTGATTATATAATTGTGGTATGTGCGGTCGATCTGACAAAGCTAGTTTCAGTATTGTCATACCAACAAAGTTTAATCCAAAAGGCAGCAGGAAGAGAAGCACAACATCCAATGAAACATGAGAGGTGAAGGTGAGGCTGGAAATCAATACATATTGATAAACATCAGTCATCTCTGTGCAAAAGCTGAAAAATCCCATCTAGACTGGCAAATGGAAGCAGCAGGCCGACACCAGCACCAGCCATGTTTTCTCTGCTGTGTCATTACTCACACACAGCGACGCATAAACACAATCCTGTCCTCTGCTCACACACAGTTCATCCAATTCATTTCAACCACCTCACTGGCACAAATAGCATTGTTGTGCACTTGGGGGATTCGTTGAGGAGAGAACCACTGTCATTGTTGGAGACGAAGCGTTTCCACACAGTCTGCAGCCTTTACAGAGACAACTTTGGAGGACATCCATCCATTTTTTGCCACTTATACTGATGCAGATCCTGGTGGCAGTAGGCTAAGCAGGGACAGTTCTACTAGTAATTCTGTATTCAACTTGTGATATAGAAAGACTTTATTTTTACCTCTATCCTAACATGTGCCCAAGTGAAATGTCAAGTCAGGAAGTCTGGATTCTGTCAAGACAAGTTTAGTCAAGTCTTGAGTCATTTAAGACCAGCCCACGTCAAGTCACAAGTCAGTAGAAACAGTCCAATGAAGGGCGCCCAGGATCAAGCCTTATCAGATGCCACACATCTGACTTAAGTTCCGGGTCAATCAATCAATCACCCAGATACAGACCTGTATCTTTGTTACTCTGCACAGTATTTATTGGAACTACTTTCACTGAGAGAAATAGAATTATTGACTATTTCTGGTTCCAAAATGAACAGGCAGATATTTAAAAGAAATCTGAAGTATTTAGAAGATTCCATAAATAGATCCTACAGCTAACCATTATTAATTTGATTTAGAGAGAGAGGGGATGACAGGCCACTCATTGATGAAATCAGACCAAAGCAGGAAGAAGAGAGGAAACACATGATTCTTTCCCTGTACCAATTTCAATTTCACCCACACATTTAAGTCTTCAACTGGGTTCAGTGCATAATGGATAATGCTCAGAGATAAATGAAAATACAACAACATGAATGAAAATTACAAAATCAGCCGTACTGGAGATGTTGTTCATTATAATGGCACTTTAAGGGTGTGTGTGTGTGCCTGGCTGGAAAGAGAATGGCATTTCAAAACAGTAGCTGCCTCATTTGTCTATTAAATTGCCATGCAGAGAGGGATACTTTGCGTTTTGTCGAGTGATATTTGGTTGCAGTGAAACGACTTCTTGTTCTAGGACACACATTAAAAAGCTGAACAATTTATCTGGCGGTGTGACAGAGCGAACAGGCCCAGCCAATTATAGACACAGAGAGCAGTGATGTCTTTGAAGAACACTTGAGGGAAGAATGTCAGAGTTATTCACACTGAGCAGTTGAAAATCCTTTAGAAACCTGGTCACAGTCATATCTTTTCTGCCTACACTTTCAGACGGACTGAACGCAAAGGAATTTTAGAAGCAGCGCTACTGCATATTGAAGCCCAAATGATTAATCAAATAGCCAATATTATGTGCTATTCGCTTATAACAAATATATCGTGTTGGCCAATAAATATGTTTGCGTTGATTTAGAACCTTTGCCTTCCTTTCATAGCAGTGACAAGTTCATTTTCAAACTGTAAAATGTCGTGCTCACTACATATCCTGAGCACAACACTTTAATAACCAAATTTAAGAAATCTCTATTAAAAATGTTGATATGTTAAAAATCGAAATCAAAGAAAGACAAGACAAAGAAAAGCAGCAAATCTCCACTACCAAGAAGCTAAAACAAGGTCACATTTGGCATTGAAAGTGATATTGCCTCAAACAATTATTTGATTATCAAAATAGTTGCTGACTAATTTTCTGTCCATTGACTTTAACAATAAATCAAGTAATCATTGTATCCCTTTTTACAAACCAACAGAAACTAGTGCATGTATGTGTCAACATACAAGTGTCTAATGTGGAACATGCATCTGTGACAAATTCTGACATGGCCTTTGTGTTTTCTGGGCATGCTGCCGAGCCTCATGCATGCGGTGGTGTCGTCACTTGGTAGACTCACCGTGGACTGCAGAGCCCACCAGCTGGCTTCACCCTAATTTAAGTCCACAAATTGGGCTGGAGGTGAGCCTCAGCACAAAGACGGCTGAGCTTTTTTAGCAGTGTGAAACGAAGGAGGAGAGGTCGAAGAAAAAGTCAAAGTGCCTGATGACGGAGGCTGTGCTTATGAAGGATTCGAAGTGATAGACCAAGTCTGCAGACTAACACAGGGCCTGCAGAGAGGCACGCTACTGACAAACACATTAGTCCAGCTGCCACACACTTTTTCTATATAAATATTAACCGTGGTTAACCCATCACTCGACATCCTGACCCTTACAAACTTCATTACATTCGCCCATTCCCTCTTCAAGATCAAGTCTTCCACCATACGGGTCTACAAAAGCAGAATTAACGGAATTATCGTCTATCACCTCAAACACAGCAAGACCAACCAATCTGGTCGACCTCAGCCCATCTACCTCTTCCAACTAGACTCATACCTAAGTCCATATGAATCCATCCGCGACTAAATAAGCTCAAGATCAGCCAGTCGGCAAAGGAGCCATGCGATCCTGGTTTTACCACCGCCTCCGCTATATTTCATCCAGATCCGGAATATCCCCGAGTTTTACTCAGTCCATTAATTTTGCATCGGAGCCGCCTCCTCCGCTTCAAGTCAAGAATCCCTGATTACATCATTTGGCCATTGGTATTTCACTGCATACCTCTCCTACATCCGTTCCAACCTGAACGACAGAAATGCCAACCGGCACCTGTCTTCATGAAGCTGTCTCTTGGGGACTCTGCATGACCAGAGATTCTGAAGAGACGGCCCCCTCCTCAAGAGTCTCCACTCCCCCCGTTCCAACCAGTCAATGGATGTCAGCGGTCCTCACTGCTCCCATTCAACCTTCTTTCCACGACTCCCTCTACCTCCTTGTTTCTTCTTCCCTACATCCTTTTGTCCCTTACCTTTCATCCCTCGACTTCCATCCCTTATCCAGCATCCCTTCATCCCTCAACCTCCATCCCTAACCCTACATCCCTTCATCTCTCGACCCCCATACCTTTGTAACGGGTGTGGTAAGGACCCAGAAGCAGTACGACAAACACGCTGGATAGTTGAAATCGAAGCTTTATTCTAAACTGAACACACAACAGGTAATGGTCTTGGATATGCACAGGTGTAGAATCCCACACGGTGGAACGCCAAGCTGTCAAGGGAGAAGGCAGACAGAATACAGAGGAAGCAGAGGCAGAATCTCGTGGTCGGGGACAGAAGGCCGAATTGTTTACCGGGGCAGAGGCAAGGCGGAGAAGTCCAAACAGGCAGGGTGGGCAACGGGACATCAGTTCGGAGGATAAAAACTGGAAGGTCAGGCATAAATGCGGAGAACGATCTGGCAGTGAGTGTGTGTGAGACTGGGGTCTAAATAGTAGGTGCAGCAGAGTGAGCAGGTGAGAGTGATGAGGTGGGTGTGACTAGCAGGTGCACTGAATGAGCTGATTAGGTGTGTGAGAGATAGAGTGACAGGATAGAAATGGCAGAGCTATGACAACCTTAGCCTATTTCCCTCCATCTCACGACCCCTTTACGCTTCCTAAATCTAACCCTCTCATTCCATCATGCAATAAACCATTTGAAACCCATATCGTTATTAGAGTGGTCCTTGTTAGTGAATTAAAAGAGTGTGGTCTAACATATGCATATGACTATTTTCAACCTCTTCATTATTAAAATTAGCATTGTGATCCATATTAATTCATATTTAACTGGCCAGGCTCCCTCAGCCCACATCACTTCCGGTTTGACTTTTTTTTAATGCCGAAATAAAGACGTCTTACAAAAACGACTCCAGATGTCACATATCTATGTATATATTTTTCAAACAATCTGGTGGCTACATCATTTTTGTTTACTGGGGGCTCTAACCTGCAAGTTGCTCTTTAGGTCATAGTCTTTGGCAAATACACACAAATACACGCACACACACACTAACTGTACTCACTGCAACATTATAGATGGCCATGCCCACAGCTCGGTGGTCATTGATCTTCTCTGTGGAGATGGACTTGGTCTCATAGGCCAGGAAGATGCCAAGCAGCAGCAGTAAACCTTTATAACCATAGACCACACCTGCAGAGAGGAAACAAGATAACAGCTGAGAGAAATTATGGAACTGTTTGTACTGCTGCTCATTTTACACAGTACTTTAAGAGGGTGTAGAGTTAGTTCTCACAGTACAAAGTTTTACATCTTAAAAGCCAATACCGGTTATTTTACATTTTCCAAATGATATGTTACACTGATTGCTACTCACCTAGCCATGTGTTCATCTTTTCTGAGCTGCAGTGCTCCAGTAAAGGCTGGATCAAAACATCCAGGTCTCCTTTGGGGGCTTCCCTGGTGAATTTCTGCTTACATACAATCAACATGAACCCGTAGGTAAAGAACAGCAATACACTACAACTTTAACAGTAAACATGCATGACAAAATCAATTTAAATTTAGGTTAAATACATTTGGTCATGCCAAAATGAAAATGTGTCGAATTAATTAATTGAGTAATAGATAAGTCAAATGACAGCAAATTTATTTTATTCATTCATTTATTATATAAAAATTAGTGCTGGGCAACAATTTTTTATCGCATGATTGTTATGCGCAAAATTCAATAATGAATTCAAAAGTAGTGTATTGCGCACTTTTATTTAAAAAGTACTGCTATATGAACAAAAGTGCAATAACATTTGGTTTGCAAACATTTTAAACAAATAAGGTGCTTTTTAATAGCAGAATTCCCTTTACACAGTATCAGTTATAACAGTTATGATTCTGATAATAGATATTCAGCCGGTGTTCACAACTTCATCTTCATGTGTGTAATAGATGCAATTTGAAATATACACCTTGAAAACTGCAAACCTATCTAAGTCATGTTTTTTTAAATTTTTTTTATGTTTGTTAAATTCTCAGTAGCGATAAATAAATGATATGCTTATTATACATATTCCAAACAAAAAAAACTTTAAAAACTCAAAAAATAATTCAAATGAATCATTTCTTTTTTGCTTTTTTTGGTATTTTGGTCAGACACATATGCAACGCTGATTACCGTAATATGTGTGGTATTTGTTATAAATGTAAGTTGGTACATAGAGGGTGATAAGAAGCTGTACAAGGAGGGACTTAGGACCCAGGGGAATGTAGGTGAAGGAAACGGGAAGAGACGGAAGAGATGCCACACAAACAGCTGTTCACCGCTCGCTGCCCGGTTCTTGTGTTAAAAATGTCCGCTTAATAATAAAAAAAAAAACTGCATTAACACACGATAAAATAATTGTCGGCATTAATTAATTAGTGTGTTAACGCAACAATAACGCGTTAACTTGCCCAGACCTAATAAAAATGCTAAATATTTGCAAATTTAAAAAAATATTTTTCGTTTTTAAGGTCACTAATGTGTGTTGACACATTCTCACCCCAATCCGTCCAATGTCACCAAATACCAAATTTCACAAAAGAAGCCTGATAGAATCCTGCCATTCATGAAACATTTATTGGAAATGTTCGAAAATTACGAGTGCGGTGTCTGTTCAGAACGGTCGAATGTTTGGCCTGTGGTGTTGCTGCCTGCAGCTTTCTGGAGAACCGATCATACAAACAACTTCTTACTCAACACTGAGCTTCCTTGAATCAGGAGCACTACACCTGTCAAATAATAACACCAGAAATACAGTTTGGTTCAGGAAAAAACACCAGGAGCAGACTTTACCCTAAGGGAAGGTAGACAACCTGGCCATGCGGGCCCAACTGTAAGGGCCCCAAACAAATATAGATTTATTATGAAAATTAGATAGTAAATATATTCAATTATGTTACTATTGTAAGTCATTGTACCCCAAAATATCTTACAAAAGGCCCCAAAAGCACTAACAAATATGCAACTCAACTGTACACTACTCACTGTGTACTTCTACTTCAGAAGATCATGTAGTACTACATTTACCTGACAGGGAGATTACATTGCAGATTCAGACTTGAATCAAAATATAACAATTTGACAGTGGTGGGCCGTCAGGGCCAGCAAAAGCCTTCTCTGCTGGCCTAAACAGAATCACAAAGTTATAGCTATTTTATAATTTAATAATTTTTCATAAATACACTACATTCTAATTATTTTTCCCATTAGCTTATTTTCTCATTGCACAGCTACTGTCTTCCTCAGTTGCTCTGCTTCCAGCCTGCAGCGCTGCTTCCAGTGCAGCATGTTTTAAGGAGAGCTTTTATCCAATCAGATTTCACCTCTATGCTGTCTCTATAGAAGAGAGGCCCAAGGCCCACTAGGAAGCCTTTGCAGATTAAAGTAAATGGGGACGATATTGTTGATTGTCATAGTCTTCAACCAATCAGATCTTTAGTTTGACATGTTGAGCGTATTCTTTGATGTGCCAGAGCTGCCAAGGTAGTCTACAAGTACGCCAGCATTAACGTGCAGCTCAGTAATAACGTGCGCCGGGATCAAGACTGTTGTGACGCTGAAGCTAGCTAGCAGAACTTAGTATTAGTAGTAAGAGTTCAAGTTGAAAGATATGTAAGAAGTTATGACATTGACATGACATTTTTAGCGTTTCGCTTGGTGTAGATTATTTCTTTTTTTACCTAGCTTTGTTTTTTTTAACACTCAATGGCTGGAGGAGGAGAAACGGATTTCTCGAGAAGGAAATTTAAGGAAAAGCTGGACATCGTAAGAAAAGGCCGGCCAACCCCACAGCTAGCAGCCCTGACCCAGCCAGGAAAAAGATTTGTATGAACAGTATTCCTGGCTGACAGCGTCAGAGAGGCGTTGCACATTTTATGGCTGGGAATGCGTTTTATTTGCGACTGAGCGTCTTGGTGTTTGGAGAGAGGCAGCAGATTTTGGGATTGTCACTGCCCAACATGTCACGCTAGCCCACTGACCAATCACGTATGGCTAGGACAGCTAGCAGGCTCTGACACGTCAAAGAATACGCCCAACATGTCAAACTAAAGATCTGATTGGTTGAAGACTATGACAATCAACAATATCGTCCCAATTTACTTAAACTGGAACGGCGGGCCTCGGGCCTCTCTTCTTACCTAGAGACACAGAGGTGAAATCTGATTGGATAAAAGCTCTACTTAAAACAAGCTGCACTGGAAGCAGAGCAACTGAGGAAGACAGTAGCTGTGCAATGAGAAAATAAGATAATGGGAAAAATATTTATAATACATGTAGTGTATTTATGAAAAATGATTCAATTATAAAATAGCTATAACTTTGTGATTCTGTCTAGGCCAGCAGAGAAGGCCTTGCTGGCCCTGACGGCCCACCACTGATGAAAAGTCCATTTCAATTGTATGTTCGTTATGGCAGTGTTAGTTTAGGAGTACACCAAAACATTATCAGGGGTTCCTATTTTCATTTTGGCAGTAATCATTGACATTTTAATTTTGTCATACATCATGCTATTAACTAGACAGACCAAATACTTTAAGGTAATAGATTTAAAATCTCTTTTTAGCCCAGTTACGAATAAATAACAAAATGAATGGATAGGTCATACCTCCACTGTGACATGTAAAGGATCCACGATCTGCCAGATCATGAGAGACAGGATGTCGATGCTGAGCAGAACACCTACAGTAGCGCAGAGTTTCCATGGTTCCAAGTGCTGCTGGGAAACAGGGAGGTGATGGTCACTGCAGCAGCATGGCAAGGGATCAGGAATAGGCACAATTCCTCTCTTTCTGATTTTGTGAGGGAGGGAGTTATGAAGCCATAAATAGACTTGCCTAAGCTGGACGAGAAAACAGTGATCCATCACTAACTGAAGCCAATTCAATCTGCCATCAAAGCACTGCGCCATGACAGGAAAAGAGACAAAGAGGCCATGAGAACGCACAACTCAGTCAATAAATAAAGGTGTTCCTTTATGTATTCAGCTTTAAAGAAAGAAACATTTAGTGGAAACAGATCACTATAAAGTGGTTATAGATTTTCTTGCATTAGATCAAAGATTTATGGTTATTCAGCTGGAGAGAATATTCTTATTTATGCAGAATCTTCATTGATAACATTGAAAATAGATGTTTCAATAACTCCCATTGAAAAGTTTAGGGACGGGGCTGTGAGTTGCTCTTCGGGCACGTTTCTAACTTACATTTGCCAAACCAACCACTTAGTCTCATCCTTGGAGCCTTCTTTTTTGTAAAATAAAAATATACTTTTTGAAAATGCTTCTGAGAAAGCATACCTTTGTGTGTATGGTCCAAGTTATGTTTCATTTTTATCTAACTTTTTATCCCTTTCCCTAAAACTGGGACTGTACCAATGTAATAGGTTTTGATTATAAGTTCAGGGTCAAATTTCCTCAATTGATAGGACCACCTAAGAACGAGGTTGATGTATCAGACTTGATCAGCCCATACTGTGCTTAATTTTTTCATTTACTTTACAATATAGAGTTATGGGGGGCTACACACTTACTTGTAGACCTGGAGTTTAATTCATGTAACTTCTATTTTGCCTTGAATGACTGAATAGAAGACTATCAATCACAATCACAGTGAGCCGGAAGTTTGCAAAGGTAATGCCCACCCAGACAGAGCCCGGTTCTGCCCAAGGTTTCTACCGGTTTAAGGGGACTTTTCTCTTGCCAATGTGGCCCCTGTGATTGCTCAAATTGCTGAGCCCTCTTTTAACGTCCTCAATGTTGTCTTCACTTCTCTACTCGGAAAATTGAAAGAGAAAATATTAGAGCCAAAGGTTTTTTTCCCCTCCCCCGTGCATGGGTATCTGTGTCTGTATGGCGTGTGTCGGGAGCTCCTCTCCTGGCTCCCAGTTACCTCTGATTACCCACAGCTGCATTCCATCAAGCTCATCACTCTGCAGGATATCAACTCTGTTCTTCAGTCACCACTCGCTAGATTCTTGTTGCCACCACCAAATTTACTCCACACTTTGTCAACATTTAGGTTCATCCATTACTGATTGTTACAACATGTAGTTGTTACAGAAACAGAAGTTCCCCTTGTGTCTTCTCCACCCTCAGAGAGATGGGCTACAGCAGCCATGGCATGGGCATTACGTGAGTTAAAGGGAACTCAACCAGTTTTGACAGAGTCCCCTTGATAGAATAATCCCAACTGATAGGGTTACCCAACTAAGGATATTCACAATCAGTAATAGTTATCTCTCTGCTGGGAAGATTTCTGCTCTTGCCTCACAGCAGGAGTGTCCGATCTAAGACATCATGTCTGACGTGTCCCATAGCGGAGACAGGAGAGGGAGGAGGGGGGGGGGGGGTCGAGGATGGAGAACTAGGGCAGATTGAAAGAGTTCACTGGCCAAGCCACACGACAAATAGATGCTACAGAATGCTCAACGGCGAGCTATCCCATTGTGGGCCAACTATTGAAGGTGGGCAGAGAGTAAATGTAAAAAGATAACACATGATTGGGGAATACATCATCATTGGCAGGGGAGCTTGCCCTTGAAGGGGATGATGATTAAGCAAAGCCTAACCCCCCTTGGCTTGGCAGAAACGCTCCGGGTGGACTTAATTGTTCGTAAATCCATTGCTTTAAATCCCTGCTACGTTTACCTTCCTCTTGTCCTTCTTCTCATCCTTTTTGGTGAAGACCGTGTGGACCCACCAGATCTTGGTGAACATGCTGCCGTAAGCGAGGCTAAAACCCAGACCGAGCAGCCACAGCCGAAACTAGCAGAGAAGAAAATCAATGAAATATTTCATAATTAAATTGATTAATATCTTAAACAGATTAATCAGTCATTCTCCATCATTAATCCCTGTTTGAGTTTAATAGCCTTTCAGAAATTACCTTGAAATGAAAATAACCTTCTCTATGGCTTGCTATCTCTTACCTTAAACTCTGTAATACAGCAGTGAAGCTGTATGTCTGCCTTTACCGTGGTGGACAAGAATCAGAAGACTGACAACATGAGGAAAGGTAAGAGCTTAAAGTCTTTAAACTACCGAATATTTGTGGAAATTAAACAAGTTTTGTTTTGGATCTGATCTCCTTTCTGTGGAAATAACACTTTATGTAACGGTAGCCAGCAGTTCACAGTGATATAATGACATACCAACAATACAATAATAACAATAACAGACATGTTAACTGGGACTGGACTGATTCACCAATATTTCACTGGTATTTCTGACTTCTATGCATTTTATGGTCAGAACTCTGTTTTCTACCTCAAAAAATGTAAACATTCAGATTTCTGACATGTCCAAATGGCATTAAGCCAGGGTCCAGATTTGTGATCACCCCCCACATCTCTCTAGCAATCAGTACCCCAGCTCCCATGTTAAGTGAAACTGACAATGGCGAGACAAATAGATCAGTACTTACTGATTGGTTTGGGTATATTAAACAACTCCCTAATACAGACATTTGCTGGCAAGAACACCATAGCTATTGTCAGGCAAATTTTAAGTGAACATTTGACATTTCGCAAAACAAATGTGATTAAGGGACATTTCTATCAACAGAATAGAACATTTCTATTCAAAAGAATAAACTCAGCTACACCATAGTTTGGTCAGCATTTGACACAAGAGGCTTGCATGTCTGTAATCCACCCATAAACAGTAGAAGAAGAAGAGGACATCCAACCACATCCACCCCATCTACGAGAGGAAAGTGTGAGGGAGGTATGGAGGAATTTGTTTAAACTGGGCACGTTTTAATTCTTCTTTCATGTCGTGGCCATGTTGACCTGGGACAAAGACAAGCATTCACACGTTATGGGAATATCAGAGAAGATGAGCCGTGTTGAGCATATGTTAACTCTAACAGGGTTTTACCCTTATTTGCTTTAAAGGAATAGTTCAAAGTTATATACACTTTGCTTCCTTCCAAGAGTGAAATGAGAAGATCCATATCAATATAATATCCGTGCAACATTAATACTCACTAATTAACATGTTGTAAAAACAACAATCTGTGCTGGAACAACACATTCTCACTCCCAACTCAACCGATACCAAGACTTGGTCAGTTGCACTAAGCTTCAAAATATGATGCTCTTGTACCTCTACTGTTTTGGACCAGAAGCTGTATAAAATATTGATGAAGTGTCTGTGACATTACTTGCAGGTTTATGAAGGGCAGTTGTGAAGATCAAAGTAGATGGCTCCGGCTGCTGCCATCTTGTCATTGACGACACAGCCTTACTGCCGGCTAATCCATAAATTGGCAAATAGGTGGAATGTTGGTGGAGCTGAGGCGTCCCAGATGATGCATCAGAGCAAACAGCTAGCAGCAGGCGACCTGAGACAGTACCCACCTTTCACTTAAAGCAAACACACCCTTTAATAAACATAACTTTAAGCCTGAATGTAATCTAAGCAGATGAGTTTTATAAAAAACAATCACCCTCCGTTTAGTTGTCATGAGGAGGGATATTAGCTATAGAGACCTTATGTACCAGGGTGTAAACATGTTTATTTCTGCTGTAAAGTGAAAATGTCTATGTCAACATGGTTTGTCTATTCTTTAGCATTTCGTGACGCAATCATGTTTTTATTCAGATTCTCCAAAATATCAAACATGTTTTGTGTAATTGTTATTCAACTCACCCATTTTAATTATTTTAAGTCATAAAGTTCAGCATAATAATTGAGGGCATGTTCGCTTGAAGTGACAGGTGGGTGCTAGCTGCTAGCTGTCTCCTCTGCCCATTTTTAGATTAGCTGTGAGTTAGGATGTGTCATCACTGCCAAGATGGCGATTGCCGGAGCCACCAACTTTGAGCTTCACAACGCTCTTCAGAAACATATGGGTGACATCATGGAGACTATGGTTTGAGCAACTCTGAAAATGTACCTGGCAGACCACGGGGAACTGCCTCCTGTGGACATGAAGGCCATCGATGCCCAGAGGGAAGACAGCAGCCAGAGCCATCATGCAGCCCACTGCAGTCATGTTGTTAAGGTAGGGCTGAGAGTTCTGAATGTACCTGAAACAAAAGCAGAAAAACATAATCATTAACAGACAAATACACAAACAATAGACCATACTGTAGTGAAAGGAATGGATAAGAATGGAGGTAGGATAAAGAATAAATAGATAGTTTATTGTTTTGAAATTATGGTCCTCAAAGCAACAATAGACATATTAGTTGTGTCTTACACAAGAATTTAAGTTTCAAGTGCTTAAATCGCTTACAATTTAACTGACACGGACTTTATTCTTCAACTTACACTTCAAATACTTTCAGGTCTTACACTTCAACAGACAATTTAATTATGCTTATGCTGCACACAATCAAAACGTCTCCAGCACCTCCACTTTAACTGAAATTTCAACTGCTTACATCAGTTATGTTTCAACTGAATTCCAATGGTTTCAGCAGTTTACACATTATCATTGTAACAGTTTTCATCCCTTACTCTTCAGCTGACATTTTACAAGCTTTCAGGAATTCATCTTTAACTGCTTTCAAAGTGTGTTCACTTCTGATGACACTTACCCTCCTTGACAAAGTTATGCAATATTATCTTTTTTTTTTTAAACCAAAGCTTTGAGACATATCCTACACCATTCCAGTGCACTTTTAAAATGACTTGAGACTAGCTTGAGATAGGGTCATCTATCACATTATTTCATCAAAGTTTCACCACTGATGTGTAAGAAAGCATCTGTAAGGGAAGGTATATGTATAAAGTCTGCACCACATTTACTATGCAGCAATAAATTGCCTTTTACATTAATACAAGCAGACATTATGTTCACTGTGAAAGACTAAACACTAGCAGGTTTCAGGTTTTCAGTAGACTGATGTTCATACATTAAATGAAAGGAATGGATAACAATGGCTGCCTGGGAGAAAGCTTAAACTATTTCATATAAGATATAGGATAAAACATATTTTGTTTTTGAATTTTGGTCCTCAAATCAACAAGAGAATCACTCAGTTATCTCGTACTGACATTTCATGTGCTTTCATGGGTCACCCTTCAAATGCTTTTACCACTCAAGCTGGAGATATGCCGTTAACGACAATTTTGTGTGTGAATGTTACTGCCTTGTGTATCCGGTGTCCATTTGGAGCTTTAGTTGTGTACGTAATCAGAAACATGTGTCGCATGTTTAAAAAGTACGTCTCCGACCTAACATGTCAAAGCTGACACTTTTATTCTTCAACTGACAGTTAAAATACGTTCACGTCTAAGGGGCTGATCACTCCAAACTCTAAACCATTGTTCCTATAGGACAGAACGCCTGGTGTGTGCTCCTCTCTTGTGCAGCACTTTGCATTTTTCTAGTGGTTTTAAGACAAATTAAAATATTCTCAACTTTTCAGTGCAAATCCACAGTCATACTGCTTGTCAATGTCACACTTAGCCCAGGCAGCCAATCAAATCGAGCAAGAGGCGGGCTTCACTACTTTACCACTTCCTTCCTAGTTTAATGCTGGTAGATGTGGTAGGGCTGGCTAGCCAGTTACCTGTTGGACTGTGAGAGAGCTAGGGAGTATGAGAGGGGGAAGAGGGAATTTATATTTCATGCCGTGATGGTGTCATGTAGAGAAACGGAGAGAAAGACCACATTTTTCCATTAACACAACTGATTGCATGGTTGTGCACATGGCCCCACTCCACAGGCGCACTGAGCTGTTTAGCTGACGTGCTTTGCCATGGTGTCTTTGAAGCGGCTGCGCCGGTAGTGACAGTTTGATAAGCTCCTTACACTCCAACTGATATCTCGACTGGTCAGTTCTTACGTACCAACTGACACTTGAACAGCTTACAGTTAACACTTAGAATCACCATTTCAGCTGAACTCTTTTAATCACTAACCCTTCGACTACTTTCAGTGGCTATGCATCAAGTGACATTCCAATTAGTTTCATATCTTTCTTTTCAACTGGCAGCTGACTACCCTAATTTTGGAGTATTAACATTGTTTTTCTGCTAGTGAAGACATTAGGTCCTCACTGTAGAAATGGTCTGTCACAGGCTTTCCCAGTGCACCAACAGGCACACAAAGCTCCTCAAAGTCATCCTCCTGCTGTCAGAGTCAGACTGTCAGTCCAGAATATTAGCCGTTTGTCAGAAATATAAACTGCAGTAAGTCTGGATTCAAATGTCTGCCTCACATATGCCTTTTTAGGATTTACCACAACTTGCAGACTGAGCGCTGTAAATACTAAATAGATTAAGTCACTCCCAAATTAAAGGTGTGGTTTTGTCCTTGGCAATGTAGGTCCTGTAAAGTAGTTTACAATAGGAAAACCAAGGCTCATAGATTACAGCATGCTGTTTAGACTATGACAAAACTAACTTGTGACATTGTCAGTTAGGCCCGGGACACATCAATACATTTTTACCGAACTCTACCTAAATTATATCCATTTTACACTATTCAATTGTCATCTAAGTGCAATTAAATAAGGAAAAGTTTTTAAAAAAAATTTAATAATTTGTGCAACTTCATTGAATTTTGACAATTTCATATTTTTGTTACATTACATTTTTGTGTATGTTAACACATTTAGTATTTTAGTACATATACCTGAATGCTTCTTAAAGTGTATAATGTGTTTTGTCAGACTTAGTCTTCTACATGGAGGGAGCACCTGTGATCTCTGGCCTGATGCTTGGAATGGATAGGTTGGGCTGGAGTCAGCTGCCCTACAAGGGGAAGCCAGCATGACCCATCAGGGGTTCCACCTTGGCTAGCCTAGAAGTCCTCACTACACGAGGTATGATGCAATTCATGCACAGGTCCTTAAAAGGCCTTCCCTCAGATGCTCGAGGCCAATACAAGAGGGGCAAAGATTGTGGCCGTGTTCTTGCCGCAGTCTTTGGAGGGTGAATCATCCGCAACTCCAACCGGTGTGATCACCGGGCACGGTAAATGCTCCGCTATGTTCACCAGCTAGTCTGTAACGTTATTTCAATCAGGAAAGACAAGTGTGATTAAGAAAATATACTAGTTTATTATTAACAGATGATATGTGATGATAAAGTCTTCAGCGGCTTTGGTGCTTGGACTCTACAGGGAGATTTGTAATGGAGGGGCATCTGCCCTGAGCAGCAGCAAGATGAATCCCCCCATGGAGTCCAGACACTGGTGGTGGCTGATGAGATGAAGACTGGGTGGAGATGGAGAGGTGCGTAACAGCAGCATGAACGTACTGAAGGTAGAGAGACAATCATATTTAAAAGAGACAGCAGCAAGATGATCGGCTAACCATGTCATTGTGCTATTGGATAGAAGAGACTAGCTGATCTAAACAGCTGATATCATGATTGACAGCCTCGAACAATGACTGCAAGGAAATAATGAGTGAGGCAGATGTATGAGAAATAAACTATGGGCTTAGGGGGTGCAAGAGTATAGTTTTCCTGACTGAACTTACGCTAGTGCTTCATGTCTCTGCTGTTTGCTGCTAAAAAGGTAGTGTATGCTGGGTTTTTTTTTTATTACTGAAAACAGCCTGTTGCAGCTTGAAACAAGGAAGATGAGAGCAGAGTTTGTGGGCCATAAAACCAAAACCGAGCTAAAAGATGCTAAAACGCAACCCGAGAAGAACTGCAGTGCTGGTAGTAATTCTGGAGGGTTTGCCCTTTCACATATATGAAATAGGTATTTGAGCCATTGTTCAAATAAAAATATTGAAAATGCAACTTTAAATGAACTTGATCGATGTCTGGTGAACTTTTGTACCTGACATTGCTGTTGTAGATGTTGAAGGTGAGGCAGACAATTCCCAGCAGGATTCCCAACCCAGCAAAGACAGAGACGGACACAAATATCTTCTGGGACAGGTAGCGAAACTCCTCAATGACCACTGTCTGGTCTGCAGGGGGTCCTGAGCCTAGGAAACACAAAGCTGATGATGAGAAGGATGAAGAGACTGTAGGGAAGAGACAAGATGAGTGACGGAGGTTATAAAAAAAAAAAAATAGAGCAGAAAAGTGAAATACATTCCCAGTGTTGGCTCTGACTACTGGTCTAACTACCAGTGCAGTGTCCAGCCATACCTCAGCCTCCCAGGTCCCACTGATGTTTGTAGTGAACCACACACGGTCACTTAGTGCATTTCTCCATTACCAAGGTTAATTTAGTGTTCAGAACAGCACAAACGGGTACACATTTCATGGGTGTAAAAAAAAAACACTTTCACTTCTCAGTTCATTGACCTCTACTTTGCATTATTCATGAGCCATTTCCTGATTTTACAAAGAAACATTGGAATAATGAAGTATGTTCACTGATGCACAAGGCTCCATCAAATGAGGCTGTACAAACCTGAGAAATGTATGCTCATACTTACAGTTGTGTAAAATAAAATGATCAGCTGTGAAATAAATCTCAAGGTTGTTTTACCTGAAATAATCTATTCAAACACATGATCTGAAACTTGCTGATTTCAACATAACTGCATGAAAGATACAAGGCAACGTTTTGTACAAGCAATGATGATAATGAAGTGTTGCTTTCAGCAGAGTGGGACCTGATGAACAGGGAGTTGTAATGAGTCTTCATGGTGGACAAATTACAGCAAATAAAATGCAACAAAAATAACAAATCATTCCACAAGCAAAGACATTTACATACAATGAGTCTAAACTCAAACTTGTACAGAGGATAGAAGCAAACACCAAACAAGAGAGTGAGTGAGCTACACGATACATCTTATTGCAATCGGTCAGTCCAGTCTAGAGGGTGGTAAGGCACCTGAAGCTCTTTGATAAACGCAGAAAACATCAGAAGAACAACTTGTACCATTTACCAGTTTACTTAGAACAGCAGTTTAGCTAGCCAATAACCACCATGAACAAAAATAAACACATCTGTTGTGCCTGAAATCACTCCCTCGCTTACTCATTCATACTACGACACATGTCAATTTTCTCTCGTTACAGTCAAAATAAACTTCCGTCTTCACAGGAAACAGTTTAGGCAACAAAACTACTTAGTTAGGTTTAGGAAAAGATTGTTGTTTGGGTTAAATAAATACAGAAGTGCCGTTACTGAAGTATGCAAGTTACGTGAAAAATAAACATTACATGATCGGTCTGGACATGTGCAGGGTGTTTTTAAAGTATATTGAATTTTGGGCGCCTTTTGTTGCTTAGCTGTGCAATGTTGACTACAGGTCCGCAAAGACGTTATCAAGACAAGAATGGACATCTCTTACCCGCTCCTCATGGCTGCCACATCCTGCCAGTGCAACAGCAAGTCTGATCCACTCAAGATCTTCAAGTGAGTTCAATACATTGCAATATTGCAAAGGGTGCATTGGATAGTGTATGCAATGAGAAGAGTACATGGGAAAGTAGCCGTGGACCAGATGTTTCTGCCAGAGAAGTAACTCTCAGACTTCATTTTTAGTGAAAAGACCTGGTCGTTCGAAACTGAGCAATTATATAATAAAACAACTTATTAGGTAGGCTGGAACCCATATGCACACTGGAAAGGTGACAAGCCTGTAGCGGAGCTGGTCAGGGTGTTATGAGCGTACTCCACCCACATCAGCTGGCGGGACCAGGAGGCATGATTCCGGGAGACCAAGCAGCGGAGGGCCGTTTCCATCTCCTGGTTCTTCCTCTCCGTCTGACCTTTGGATTGGGGGTGAAACCCAGAGGACAGACTGACGGTGGCCCCCAGCAGAGCGCATAATTCCCTCCAGAAGATGGTGAACTGAGGACCTCGGTCGGAGACTGCGTTGACTGGAATCCCATGCAGGCGGAAGACGTGCAGGGAGAGGAGTTCTGCCGTCTCTTTAGCAGACGGGAGCTTTGGCAGAGGAATAAAATGGGCCAGCGTACTAAATTTGTCGACCACAGTCAGGATGGCGGTGTGGCCCTCAGATGGTGGTAGCCCAGTCATAAAGTCCAGGGAGATGTGGGACCACGGACGATGAGGCACTGGGAGAGGCTGCAGGAGCCTCTCACCAGGGTCCCACCAGGGTCTCGTGTCGCCTCTTCGATCGACCCGAACCGGGCCTGTGATGCGGTGTTGTATGCTGGGTCCATGTTTTCGGCAGATCATACTTTAACTGGTGTGGTAAGGACCCAGAAGCAGTACGACAGACACACTGAATAGTTGGAATCACAGCTTTAACAGGTAACAGTCTTGGATATGCGCAGGTGTAGAATCCCACACGGTGGAATGCCAAGCCGTCAAGGGAGAAGGCAGACAGAACTCCGAGGAAACAGAGGCAGAATCTCGTGGTCGGGGACAGAAGGCTGAGTTGTTTACCGGGGCAGAGGCAAGGCGGAGACGTCCAAACAGGCAGGGTCGGCAACGGGAAACCAGTCGGAGGGTAAACACTGGAAGGTCTGGCATAAATGCGAGGAACGATCTGGCAGTGAGTGTGTGTGAGGCTGGGGTCTAAATAGTAGGTGCAGCAGAGTGAGCAGGTGAGAGTGATGAGCTGATGAGGTGGGTGTGACTAGCAGGTGCACTGAATGAGCTGATTAGGTGAGTGAGAGATAGAGTGACAGGATAGAAGTGGCAGAGCTGTGACATTGCCACTATCATTTAAAACTGTATGCACTGTAAGTACTTTTAAAACAAATGAATATCTTGCTCTCTGTCAGTTAGTTTTCCTCTTCAGCTACCTATATATTAATCCATCTTCAGAAACTGTGATCACACCCTATATCATTAGTCTATATAAAACTGCAGCAGAGATTGGATCAACAATGTAATTGTATTGTATTTCTGTTTTGTTTATGTTTAAAATGGTTATACCCAACGAAATGTGTCTCCTGCCTTGCTGACAAACATACTCTATAAAACCACAGGTTCTCGTAACTGGTGGTGCAGTTTACACTAGGGACATCCCAATCAAGTTTTTTGGGGCCCAGTCCTTTAACATTGAATGTCTGCCAATTATGAGTCTGATCCAATACCTACCGTTACCTAAATGTTGATGAATTATACATCTTACACATTTACATAATAGTTGTAGCTGCTGAATTTCATTTGACCCCAAAACTGATGGTCCTGGTTCAAAGCTATGTAGTTGATCAGCTTAAATTATTGAAATGATGGTAATGATAAAGGGACTTGTACTTGTACAGTGCTTTTCTAGTCTTCCCACCACTCAAAATGCTTTAACACTACATGTCATTTAGCCACTCACACCTATTCATACACCGGAGGCACAGACTTCTGGGGCAATTTGGATTTAAGTGTCTTGCAAGTGTAAATAAAAGTTTCATTTGGAGAATGTTTAAGGTTTAAGATCCAAGAGTGGGTGCATTTCGGTTGCCTCTCACCGGCTCTCAACGTGACAATTGCGAGACAACGGCTCATATCTAACAGCGCTTACAGTGCAAACTACAGCGAAAGTGTTGACAGAACTAACAGTGTTAGCCTGAGGGGGACAGGAAGGTGGGTGCTACGTTTCCGCACAACGCTGTTGGTCGGGATGGCATTATTAGGTATTATGAGCTAACCAGTGGGGCAAGTTCACATGCACTCACATGTCTGCTTCACAGAATAAGAGTGATAAGGACATGTTAGTGTAGAAGTAACTATTGCTTCGTGTTGTGCTCTGTTTGTTTACTCTCTCTCTTTCTCTGTGGATTACTGTCTCTGTGTGGATTATAATTATTACAGTTTACCATCAACCCCTGTATATTTTATGATCCTTACAAACAAACTGTTATATTTGGCATGGTTATATATTACACTCGTTGTACTCTTTCCTACTTTGCAACTGCTGGGATCCCTCGGGATAATTCAAGTTCTATGTTAACTTATTTTCCCCCAGAAATACTCTGGTTCCTCTCCTAAACTGGAAAAGGAATGTAATGAGATTTAGCTTCCATTAAATTTGCATTTCATTTAGCCTATGCACTAAATGTGGGAGTAAGAGTGTGCATCTGTCAGTGTTGACAACTTAGCTGTGCTTTTAGAGCTTCTGAAGCTTGAGCAGTGACAGAGGAGCCCCAGGCAATGCATTGTAACATCTGTGAGCCTTGGCTTATTTGAATGAGATGTTAATAGCAGCCATGTTGTCATAGAGTCTTAAGGTCAGAATAGTAACAAGAGCTTTTTTTGCCTCACAAATGTGTTGCTATGGAGGCTGCCGGTTCGTATGCAGTTGAGAATGTGTCACACTTCAGAGTCTGATGCAGATGATTACTTTGAGAATCTTACTTCAAAAGCTTGGTGTTTGTTATTCATAAGGCAGCTATTTTTGATTTATGTCATATTCAGAGAACACAACCTTAAAACTACTGTGAGGAAAAGAGATATTTTTTTTAATCAAAAAGTGGATACAAATGATCTTTCATCATCATCAAGCTGAGCATATCTGGAGAGGCCGACTGTTGTGTAGAGTAAACGCCTATATCTGTAGTCAGGGGGATGTAAAGTGATTGAACTCAACTTAAATAACAGAATTTAAATTGCATTAAATCCACCTCGGCACCTCCCTTTGAAAATAAAAGAAATACGTTCTGGAGGTTGCTAGTTCTTGACTCGTAAACAGTCATTGCAATACATCATGCTACATAATCAAGTTCTATATAAATGAGAATATTATCAAACTATTGACAGAAAACACAACTAATAACTAATTGTCTTTACGCTATGTATAGCCTATGATGGAGATACAGTCATCAACATCAGATAAGGAAGCACAGAGATTGGATAAAAAGCAGCGGACATTTAGACAATCACTGCCCACGACATCCTCCAACCAGCCAGACCAAGTGCCACTGAGCCGGGATAAGAGCTGGGCTGTTCCGCTACCCAGCCTGCTCCTGGCTGATGGGGGTCGCAGGAAGGTAGAATGGATAGGACTTGGGCTGGCCCAGCAACAGTAGATCTGTGACCACACCAACAGAGCGCAGG